ATTACAATATGTTACTACGTTTGATTGTCAGGTAAGAATATGATACCATATGATCCACAAGGATTACATGCTACTACAACGATGATCAGATAGGATTACAATACGTGATTATAGTGGTGGTTAGCTAGGATTATAATATGCCACTACAATGATGATCAGGTAGGATTATAACATGTTACTACATTGATGATCAGATAGGACTACAGCACGTTACTACAGTGATGAACAGCTAGGATGATAACATGTTAATACATTGATGATCAAATAGGACTACGGTACGTTACTTTAGTGATGAACAGCTAGGATTATAACATGTTAATACATTGATGAACACATAGGACTACGGTACGTTACTTCAATGATGAATAGCTAGGATGATAACATGTTAATACAATGATGATCACATAGGCATACAATATGTTGCTAGAGTTGGGATAAGCTATGATTACAACGAATTGTAATATTTCAGTGATCATTAGCTAGGATCAGAACACCAGTTTAAGAATATATATATAAAGATATTAACAAAAACATTTCCTTGATAAAAACCGTTTTTTTTTTACTTTCTGATATTAAATAAATATGCATATATACATGCAAAGTATCTGCCTATAAAATATTGCATGAAATCATATTTTAGCGATCAGTTAATTCAAGTTGGAATATCTAGATTTCAGAGAGATTTTTCCAAGATAACTTCCTTTTTGTGTCAGCAGGGGTCATACCATTAGCCAGTCGAAACTGTCCTGTCTTATGTCATCCGGGTCATAGTATGGAATCGCTCGAGTGTCTCGTAAAGCTCATAAATTTTCTTTCGTTGATAAAACTAGCAACCTAGCAATGGGCTTACCTATCTGGAATGTAGTACTAGCAGTTAGACAATGAAGAGACACCATCCACCCGACATGCCATTCTCAAAATAGAGGCTTGTAAGCTCCTCATTCACGACCCCCCCACACACAAAAAAAAATGCAAAAATACATACCTCGTACGACCTAACTTACTGCCGACGTCTTTGGTACTGATTACGGAGAACCCGGGCTATAAAAATCCCGCCGTTCTCACGTAACTGTCTGGAGTATACGATAAGCGTTGGTATGCAAGAAAAGTCAAGTTTTTTTTTTCTTTTTTTTTTTATCAGTGGTCGGCCCACCCAAAGTTACTCTCCACAAAATCGTCGCAGTTATCTCATTCAACATTTATCACTTACCTGAGACAGTCCTAGGTAGATGGACACCGTCTCGGAAATGTAGAGGAACCGACC